ACTGAAGGTCGTTCCACTATCCGCCACCTGTGGACGCGCCGGGTAGTCAGCACAATTTTACTCTCTACCAACCCGCATAGTTTATTTATTTAATTACGCTATAAGTGCACAGGTCTGACGGGAATTTATCGAAAACAAACGTATGTCTGCCAATTTTTCTACGGAAATTTTCACTGGGAATTTTCGAAAATTTGAGTAAAATTCAGTAAATTAGTGATACATATGTAAGAACGCGTTTCTGATCATTTTTAAGTAGCAGTTCTTGAAAATCAAAAGTGTTACTGATTTAAGATGTCGGTGTTGAAGAAGGCATGAGCTGCTATGGCGCCCCTCAGAACTGCACACATTGTAGCAAATAACCGGCCTTCAAAAGCACCCCAGATCTGTAAAAACAGAAAAAAGCTTGATCTGAATGAAAACTAGTGAAGAGAGAGAAATCTTATGTGGACAGGCAGCGCGCCATCATGGAAACATTCTTGTAAGCTGACATTCTATAGAAGGCACCATTTATTGACAATTTGAGAGACTGGAATTTTCATTATAGGCTTACTGTTGGGCAAGGACAGTTTAAGTAGTGCACCTCATATACCCCTAGTCCCAGCATTTTGTCCAACGAAAACGGTGATTATAGGGGTTTTGGGGATGGAGAAATAGGATAGGCAGTGAAGGAAATGTGTAGAAGTAAGCGTAAAGTGGAAAAAATGTAGTTGAATTTGTTTCCCGCAGCCATTGGGAGTAAATTGTGAGTTAAAAGTTTATGCGGCGCTTCGCGTCGCGGACTATACTAAGCTAACTCCAGAACGGTAAGTTGGACCTCAGGCAAGTTGATGTAGACGACCTCCTAATTACCATTTCTATTTCTTCAGGAATTTCAAGAAACCTGCATTTTGATAATCGGATTCTTTCACAATGCGTTAAACGACAATACAGTTTAGGAAAATATACAGGTATAAATCAACAACATTTCTAAATAAAATAAAATAAAAATGTATGTAGCAGTTATTAAAGTATATTCCACTGCCTTTCCTAACTCCCCACCCATAAAACCCCTATAACCGCCGTTCCTATAAGACAGAATGCTGGGACTAGGGGTATATTAGGTGATTACTTAAACTACTGTTGCATATGAAGGGCTAGCAATTAGCGGAAGCCTGTAATAAAGACAAATTGGTCAAGATTAAACGCACGTGACTTTACAAGGTCATTTAGACA